ATGCTGCAGGTCAGACTTAGTGTATGCTGCAGGTCAGACTTAGTGTATGCTGCAGGTCAGACTTAGTGTATGCTGCAGGTCAGACTTAGTGTATGCTGCAGGTCAGACTTAGTGTATGCTGCAGGTCAGACTTAGTGTATGCTGCAGGTCAGACTTAGTGTATGCTGCAGGTCAGACTTAGTGTATGCTGCAGGTCAAACTTAGTGTATGCTGCAGGTCAAACTTAGTGTATGCTGCAGGTCAGACTTAGTGTATGCTGCAGGTCAGACTTAGTGTATGCGGCAGGTCAGACTTAGTGTACGCTGCAGGTCAGACTTAGTGTATGCTACAGGTCAGATTTAGTGTATGCTGCAGGTCAAACTTAGTGTATGCTGCAGGTCAAACTTAGTGTATGCTGCAGATCAGACTTAGTGTATGCTGCAGGTCAGAGACTTAGTGTATGCTGCAGGTCAGACTTAGTGTATGCTGCAGGTCAGACTTAGTGTATGCTGCAGGTCAGACTTAGTGTATGCTGCTGGTCAGACTTAGTATATGCTGCAGGTCAAACTTAGTGTATGCTGCAGATCAGTCTTAGTGTATGCTGCAGGTCAAACTTAGTGTATGCTGCAGGTCAGACTTAGTGTATGCTGCAGGTCAGACTTAGTGTATGCTGCAGATCAGACTTAGTGTATGCTGCAGGTCAGACTTAGTATATGCTGCAGGTCAGACTTAGTGTATGCCGCAGGTCAGACTAAGTGTATGCTGCAGGTCAGACTTAGTCTATGCTGCAGGTCAGACTTAGTATATGCTGCTGGTCAGACTTAGTATATGCTGCAGCTCAGACTTAGTGTATGCTGCAGGTCAGACTTAGTGTATGCTGCAGGTCAAAATTAGTATATGCTGTAGGTCAGACTTAGTTTATGCTGCAGGTCAGACTTAGTATATGCTGCAGGTCAGACTTAGTGTATGCTGCTGGTCAGACTAAGTGTATGCTGCAGGTCAGACTTTTAGTGTATGCTGCAGGTCAAACTTAGAGTATGCTGCAGGTCAGACTTAGTGTATTCTGCAGGTCAGACTTAGTGTATGCTGCAGGTTAAACTTAGTGTATGCTGCAGGTCAAACTTAGTGTATGCTGCAGGTCAGACTTAGTTTATGCTGCAGGTCAGACTTAGTGTATGCTGCAGGTCAAACTTAGTGTATGCTGCAGGTCAGACTTAGAGTATGCTGCAGGTCAGACTTAGTGTATGCTGCAGGTCAGACTTGGTGTATGCTGCAGGTCAAACTCATTGTATGCTGCAACATTTACTTAGTGTGCTGCAGTTATATTTTGTGATCATGTAAATGAATTTGTGCATGTGAAATTCATTTTGCAACCGCTTTTGCTTTTGTGTACGTGCAAAACTTAGTACATGCTGCATGTCCCTTGTGGGCCATCGTGATTTTGCAACAGCTTTTGCTTTTGTTTTTGTGTGCGTGCAAAATTTATTACATGCTGCATGTTCCTTGTGGGCCATCGTACTCTGAGGATAATCCTGCGGTCCTCAAATTAGAGTTTCTTTCCTTTATTACAGTGTTACAGTGTTCTTTCATTACACTGATTGGGGAGCAAAACAATAGACAGCCCGCTCCCCCGTCCTTCCCCCAATATGAATTTCATTCCGAGGACACCAAAGCGGCAATTCTACGATTATTCCCCAGCAAATTCCAACATCAGCTCGATCTCTTTTGTTTGCACAGAATTTCAGTACATGTCTAACATAAATATAAACTATTCAAACTTTCCCCTATTTTGTTGGAAGTGTTGTTTACAGCGTTATTATCATCAAAAGAAAGCCATCACAATTCTAGTTAAAGAGCTAATTATTATGCTGGTTCACTTGGAACGCATAAGGGCCATGATACACTGCCAATGGATATCGGAAACAAGCTGTGTTACAAAGCCTCACTAAAACGCCTCTTAGATGAGTGATAGATTCTTATAGAAGTGAACCCGCCGGGCATGTGTTGCACATTCTCATTGGACCAGAAAAATGGATAGAATAACAGCCCTAGGCAAAAGGATCTAGTCTCGTCTCCCTTGCAATTTGTTTGGGATTTCCAATTTCCTGCCATGCCTAACAATTTATTTTATGGATTCAAGCGCTTATGTTAATCATGTTGGTATTTTGCTTTCGTTGTTTTAGCTGGTATTGACGCAAATGCCTCACTTTGATAGTGAGCTGCATTAGCTGATTCATATACATTTGTAGTTGTAGTTTTATCATTGGTTAACGTATATAATGTTCTGGTATTTAATTGGCTCCTTTTTGCTTGTTGCACCAAAAACGTAGTTAGTTGACCTTATCACAGAAAGCACATGGTATGTAGTAAAAGGAATGTGATGCCAGTTGCCAGATTGTAGGCAGATTGAGTAGAAACTAGCTTGAAGTAGAAATATAACAAAACAAATGAAATTAAGAGCAGCTAACGGAAATCAGAGGCTTTTCTTCGTCGACTTCTACGAATGTCTTTAAGATAGAAGATAAGATATTTAGAAGGTTCCTTAACACATTTTTTGATTTCTCAGTGGTGAACGGCACTACAACAGAGGCGGATCTAGAATGAGTTCCTTGGTGCACAGAACTCAGACCAGGGCCTAAAATAAGCGTGGATCTGACTCACTTTGTGGAGTTGCAAATTGAGATTGTGGAACTGCAATTGTAGATAGTGTGGATTTGTAAACAGTGCCTTTTTTATAGTAAACAATGCAGCATAAAATACCAATCGAAACGCTTAAGAAGATAGAAGTAGGAACATCTCTTTCAAAGCAAAGTGAAAGCCAATCCCAGCCTTATGTGTTGCATTCATTTTATAAAAGTGAATTGCTATAAGAAATGAGCAATGGACAGTAAGAAAGAATTAACAAACTGTAAAACTCGAAGCTTCAGTAAATTATGCTTTATGAAATTGTCGTACAGTCTTGAAGAAAGATGGACTCGGTATACATCTTTAACTTCAGACATCATGTCAAGTTAATTTGCTTTTACGACTTACTCAAAAAAACACTGAGCCTAAAGACCGGGACTATAGTCCTCCCCTACTTTTTTCCAATAATAGGTTAGAAAATGTTTTTGAAAGTTCACGCTAACGAACGCATTAGTAGCAGTTCTGCTGGGAACACGTTTTTGTTCTTTTTAATGGTGCTTTATTTTTTGTGATCAAAGATAAATTTGTATTTTATCTAACTCGGTTTTGTATTTTTATGTTAATTGAAATCTTCTCTAAATCGCTATGTTGTTAAGGACAGATATAAGCGAATAAAGGGCGTGGCCGTAAAAAGATTTAGGGGCAAGCCTCTTAGTCCCGTTCCAGCCACTCCGTTATGAGCTGGTGCCAGTGTGACCTGATCTAGCGTGATATTGGCAGGATATTGGCCAAAAATCGTCATTTAGCATAAAATCTAGCATAATTTGGAATCTAGCATAACTCTGGCATAATTCTGATATTATTTAAAAGAAACATTGTTTCTATTGATCCATTGTCTATCGTTACCAAATGCAAACACTCTACACCAGCATCTGTGGTTTCATTTTGGGAGTAAATTGTGACTTCCCACCTTCAGGATTTTGCCAGTTGTTTTGAATGGTTGGCGGCCACATATTTTGTGGTTGGCAGCCAAATGCAGCAGCTAAACGCAGTATACAAAAAAGCTTAATTTTTGCTAATTATTGGGAGTGATATCGCAATCAAAATTTGCTTTGTTGGTTACAAAAGTTTTCACTTGCTTTGATCTAAAACTGTTTGTTATCTTTTGCTTTGTTTCATCATTCATCATTGGCAATTTTGAAATTATTTTAAATATTTTTGAATAGAATATCATCTGTGCAAAAAATTTTGTTTCCTTTCCATTTTCGTTGTTTTTTTAAACATGCGGCCAGGATTCAGCCAAATTTTGCTTCTTCGGCCAAATCAATTTGTGGCGGCCAAGGGCTTTTGAGAAACTGCCAAAATGGAGAAATTTGGCCATCAAACCATGAATCTAAATTGCCTTTTTGCTTATGAAGAATGAGTACACTGGGTTGTCAAAAAAGCCAAATTGAAACTCTGGCCAACCTATTAGTAGCAGTTCTTCTTGACTGCGAACCCGTATTTGTTCTTTTTTATGATGCTTTAACTTGTTTGATCAAAGATAAATTTTTATTCCATCTAACTCGGTTTTGTATTTTTATAGTAATCAAAATCTTCTCTGAATCGTTATGTTTAAGAATAAGGACAGAAAGAAGCAAATGTTTTCCGGTGTTTCAAAGGGTGTGGTCGTAAAAAATCTAGGGCAGGCTCCCTAGCTCGGCTCCAGCCATTCCCCCTATAGGCTGGTGCATGGTGTCTGCGTTACTAACAAGATGGGGGGAAAGATCGTGCTTTCAAACTACACGAAAAGAGAATAAGAAGAGACAAGCACAATTTGTACATGAGTGAGAGAAGATATTATTTGCCATCCGTAACGAGGTTTTTGTTTATAATATCGAATTTTTTGAAGAAAAGATTTGATGACATAGAATTGGATGGGCTGAATGCAATTAAAATGACTTTTGAAGGCCTCACTCTGCTTTTGCCCCGGGCAAAAATTTAGCAAGATTTCATTCAACCGTGCATTGAAATTCTAAAAATAAATGACCAAGATCACAGAGATCTTAGATTTGGTCTCAGAGGAATTCTACCAGGCGAGACAACGGCACGCCTTCTCGCAGCAAACCCTAATTCTGCCGATGTAGAGAGGCTGATTCCCATCTACAAAAAGATAGTAACAGGTTGGCAAAGCAGCATATCTCCAGAGAAACACTTAACAAATATATAAATATCGCAAGTTTCGAGTTCCGTGAACAGCTACAAAGATATGGTTCCAAAAAACCAAAAACACTAAAGTCTGGGAAACGAAACTGATTTAAGGAGATTTTCGAAGGAGAAAGGGAAGAAAAATAACTTTGACGGAGATCCAAACAAACCATGTCAAAGGGTTTCCTTTCGATAACTATTTGCTCACAAGTTAAGACATCCCTATATCTTTTTAATTTTCTTATTAACCCAATCAATGTATTGAAAAGAATCAGCTTCTTATACTTCTTTCATTTAAGATTTTACCCAATTTAAACATGCTATTTGCACTATAGTGGCAGTTTCTATATTTGCCACGCCCGTTTTGCCAATGGTAGCAAAGTACCACGCCAAAATTTTATAAAGAAATGTGGATCTGTAAAAATTTCTTATTTTTGGCCGTGACTCAGACATTTTTTCAACATATAGCTAAAAATAGTGTTGCCTGAAACAAGTCAAATGTGAACTAAAAAAGTAAAACCTAAGAATTCTAAGTGTTATCAAAGTTTCTTCAAAATCTTAAAATTGGCAGTTTGATTTTCACAGAGGCCCCTTTTTTGTCAGAAATAAATCTATAATCTAGTTTAGTTATTGGGTAGTACCTAGTACCCCCCCCCTCCCTCGTGGTACCAAAATTCATAAATATAAATGATAATACTATCTTAGGCACAATTATCAATGCATTATCTAAAAGACATTAGCTTTGGCCTGGAACTCAGTCAGGTTTTTTGCTGGATCTCCCCCTGCTACAAGAAGCCATAATAAACTGCACTTGGCAAAAAAAGCTTGAACAGTTGGCCTCTTGAACAGCGGATGTTGCAAAAGTCCTCATAAGGTACAAAGCCCTTGAAGGGACCAAGGGTCAAAAGAACAGAAGAACGTTATAGTCAGACGTCAACAGTACCGGATTTGTCAACAGTACTGGATAAGAATGATTTAAGCCTAGATATTACCTGCCTGCCACGTCAATTAAATGCCGCGCAGAAAAAGACAAAGGAATGAAATGAGATAGCGTCATTTTTCTTACCCATCGTTGGTTGAATCAGGCATCAGCAGAAGCACACATTGCATTGCATCGCAGACATCAACAAGCGCATCGCTGAAATTAGGATGGCTTTATGCCTTCCTTGCATAAGCAAGCCTTCTACACGCGATTCAGCATGGGCATGGGTCACCTTAGCTGCCTCAACACTTGTGTTCTTCAGCTCGTTCGGTTTTCTTTATAACTTTGGGATATTTTACAACTACTTTCTAATTGAATTCAAGGAAACAAAGGAAAAAACAGGTAACTGATACAAATTTTTAATCCCGGCGAACATGAACAATCCGGAGAGGTACCATATTTGCTAGATATTATATATTTAGGAGAGCGTTCCCTGTCCCTAAGCGACCTGTGATTCGTTGATGCAGTCAAAAAACTTTTCGACTTGTATTTCAACGAGGTTTATCGGATTATCCCAACCTTCGCCTATAAGCCCTTCTGTTTTCAGGACTACACGCATATTTTTTTTAATAAACAAAGGTCGATGTTAAGTACTCTAGTTTCAAAATGGTATGGAGATTTTAATACTCATTTTTTTCTTATTAGTTTCTTGATTATGATATGATGAATGATGTTATGAAATGTTCGTGACCTTTTTTATAACGTCAAGAGATTCGCTTCCTTGCTGATGCTGTATTTAGATGTGGGAAGTATATATTTATCCCATGTGTCTTAAGTTCTAGACGAACAGGGCAATCATATTCTTGGATTTTACATCATTTCGTTGTTTTAAGTTTTATCACGATTTAATAGTTTTTTAATTCATTTGCTTCGAGTACTGAAATTTTTTCATTTTTGTGACTGTCCAATACCCGTGTCTTGTAGCCAGTTTCTTATAAGAAAAGGAATGTAAGCAACAAGAAGTTTTTTAACTTCTATGTCAAAGATAGGGAGTCTTTGGGGTGTTCCTTTAAATGCCTGCAATATCGAGTCTCATATTTTTTATTTTTTGTTCTATGGCCATGTGTTCATGTTCAAGCGAGGATTCAGCTTAAAATTAAGCTTGACCTTTTGTTTCCTATGCTAACAATTGTGATCCAAGTGTCAATTGTGTTACACAATTCCTTCTTGTATGCAAATTTACACTGTTTCTGTTGTGTATTCTACGTTGTACCATCAAATTTTTTTAAAAGCTATTTCTGGATCTTATTTGCGAGGATTATAAGGTCAATTTACATTCAATGTAACAAAGGAAGCAGGTCTAGAGTAAGGAGCACACCCTTATTTCACTCACCCATGACAAAGAGGGACACTTATTTTCACAAAATACTTATTCTCACAAAATAGGCACTTGTCCTCCCTCACAGAAGGCACTTTTTGACAAGAAGGGGCACATTTTCCCTAAAACGATCCTCCCTAAAACGATCCTCCCTAACGCACACATTTTCCCTAAAACGAACACCTCATTTCAGCTGAAAAGAACATTTCCCAAATACGGGCATCTTCTTGAAAACGGACATCTTCTTGAAAAGGCAACCTCCCTTATACATCCAATAACTCTACAATCAAGTAGGTCAATCATGGCTTACCAATCCTACATACAACATTTTTTCTCCTTTAATCTACGTGTATCAACGTGATTTGAGTCTATTGATTTTCTGGTAAGTTACTGCATTAGAATTGTCCCGCTTCTTTTACTTTATTTAACATTTTTATGTAGATTCTGCGGTTACAACCATGTTTGTATGAAAAGGAGAAGAAGTAACCCTTCTCGTACTTTATTCAATTAACCCTTCTTCCTAAAAAAATCATTAAAGAAATTATGGAAAGTACTTCAAACAGCCAGTCGCTATCTAGTCCTTAAAATAATGTGAATTTTCATGTTTCAGCATGGGTTGGCTCCGTGCCGATGTTTCTAATGCATGTATTAGCTTGGCTTGCAAGTTGGATTATATCAAAGTATGGCTTACGGGCGAGTACCATAGCTGCAGCTATTCCTCTTGGTGCCTCATTGATCGTGACGTCATTTTCAAGAAATCTCGATGAAATGCTGCTTACATTCAGTGTGCCATTTGGATTGGCAGGATGCATAATGCTCATGTCAAGCACCAGTGCTGTTTACAAATACTTCGACAAGCGAGTCCCAATTGCGATAGGTAATATTTCTTTCAGGCACACAAAGCCGTAATGATGCCTCTTTTTATCTTTGCAACTGAATCTTTTTAATAAAAATCGTTTCTCCAAGGGCCGTCGATAAATATTCTGCTAAAGGGGGTCTATCAAATGCTGACAGTAAACCAACTTTTCTTTGCCGAAAGCTTGAAAATCCCTCCACGAATCACCCCCTGACGGCAAGAAAGGCTCTGTTTTAGTTTTTTTTCGGTTTTGAAGCAATTAATCAACATGAAAATTTACCAATGAAAGTTTATCAATAACTTTTTCCATCAAGATAAATTCGGTTCGATATGAAGTTAAGAGGATATGTTAACTCAAATATATATAAAATGATTAGCGATATCACGATAAAGTGGAAAATATTCGAAACTGCTTCGAAAATATTAAGACGAGCCGTAGATTCCACTTTCAAGTTAAGAATCTTCCATTTGAGATTAAATTGAACTATCTTTTTATTTTAGAGTAAAGCTTTCTATTTTAAAACCTCGCAGATAAAACTGAAAATCTTGTAACGTTTCAGATTGTTTGAATTCATCGACTTTAATCATAATCTCTAAGATTACGTCTTTTTATTCATTTTGGCAACGCCTTCGCCTGTCACAGAAATAGAAGGCAAACAGAAGACATGAAACTGACCTAGCAATAATCATTCAAATTAATCACATATGCTATTCCATCGACCATATTGCTATTCCTTCAAAACTTCTTAGCATTCAAATATTCTTTAAAGTTCATGTTAGCAGTTGACTACATCAACCTCGATCCCATCTCGGCCCTGGATTCTGTCTAGACCCTCGATCAAAATAAAACATCAACCCCGTGGGCTGTACCAAACAAAAAAGATAACTATATTGCATAAGCCAATCAGGTTCACGACACAAGTTCACGACCCGTTAATAAAGCCATCCATGGCCAAGAAAGCTTGAATATAGGTCAGTTTTTTGGGATATGTCAGTATAGCTACCAATCTGTTCGCTGGGTTGCCATGGAGAGATTTACAAAGATCACACTGCGCAATCCTTGTGTATATTTTTACACATATGCCTTCTAAAAAGTTCTCCAAATTCAAATAAGAAACTGAAAAAAAATTCTCCCTCAAAAATGCCCCCCCCCCTCATTTTATTCCAACACAATACAGCTTTTCACAAAATCTTTTGTCATGGGTGTTGAATTTTCCGTTAGTCCGCTCACTTCCCAACCTGTGTCGGAGCCCATGTGACATCAACATTGATTAGAGTTTGGTACTTCTACACAACGTCACAGTTATCTCCCTCATCAAACATTGTCGATTCCATAGCCCTCTTCCAGTTAAGAATTTACACATTGTTGATAAAAGAAAGCATTCATATTTACTTATAGAATGTTAATATCAAGAGTATTGCAAAATATTTGAATTACTGTTTGCAAGACTGTGTTTTAGTTTTGAAAACTGGAAAAACAGGGGTAGAAATAGTTTTCATTCATTTTTAGCAACTCATGTGTACAGGTCCCCTTTTATAAATAGTTAAAGCATGTGGAACTTCAGAATTTGTTGAATATCAGGCGTTATGTGACATGAACAGTAGATGCACTTTGTTGTGTATAAAATCGATTTTTCTATCACTATGCAGTGGGCGTTATTCCAAGAGTAATTTCTAAATGGCTTTGAAAAAAGCAAAAGTTTTGAAATATACCAAAGCTGATCTTCAGACACCTTCAGAGTATAAAACGTCCCATTACTGATCAGAAACTCTAAGCTAGGAAATTAAAATTGGAAGAGCTTCGGCGAACTCCGATTCGAGCTCTTCGAGACTGCTCTTAGCATCGAGATCTCTGTCCTAGCACATGTTAATTCATTCTTATTGGAGAGATAGCTCCTGATTGACTAGTGAGCCTCAAATGCGAGGAGTTGGTGCGTGAAAAATGGAGTAGCAACTCAGAACCGTCCTGTTTTATACACCAAAAGCGTATGCAAGTCTGTTAATAGGACATCAAACACTTAACAGGGCCCTTATTGATAACAGTGCCTTTGGCACTGAAAAGGTTTTACCCTGTATAAATATTTCTATTATTATTATTTTTATTATTATGACCGACCGGTAGACCCTAAAAGGTGAATTTCATAAACCCAGTAATGAATCGAAATAAGATCGAGGACATGATTGAACAGTTTTCTGATTCTGTCTCTGTGGAAAGCATCGTGCTTAGCAGACTTTCTGCTTGCTCAACGTAATATTTTTATTAAGGTTGTAGTGATGGGGGGAGGGCCCAGAAGGGCACAGCCTCCCTTGTCAAAATTTTCGAAAATCGTTTGGAGGGGGCTGAGCCCCTTCATTGCTCGTATTTGGATACAGCCAAGAATCGTGTAACGCAAAGAAAAATGTGAATAATTGTTGCTTCACCACAGGCCAGCCATTGACGACTAAACCAGAAAAAGAAAAATGATGCATTTAAAGTTAAACGACATTACATACAGACTGGCAGATCCAATCGCATTGGAAGCTTCATATGCTTGAAAATGCACACAAAGTTTGACAAATATAGACAAACGTTGACAAATATAGACAAAGTTTGACAAATAAAGTTGCAGCTCTGTATGTACAGTTGCTGCTCATTTTTGGATAATTTCCACCTTGGGTGTTCTTAATGTTGTTCTTTTTTAAAAATTAATTTTCTATATCTGTAAACTATCAATCCTTTAAAACCCACTGAATAACAAATTTGCATGAAATTTTTACTAGCACGGTGCATTAGCTGACAAAGTCTGCTCTGTTTGTTAACAAGAGAGAAGATGGGTCAATTCAAAATCCAACCAAGATGGGTCATAGTTATTGAAAAAAAGGCTTAAGAATATTGCCTAGGATTTCATTATCGATGTTGTCAATATTTTATTTCACTAAACTCCTTAGCAATGTAAACATTTTGCCTCCTATAAACATTTTGTCGAGGGTGTGAACAAAACAAAACACAGAAAATTTGCCTTTTAGTTTACTGTCGATTAAGAGCTGGTACCTGTCCTTTCGTGAGCTAAGAGTAAAGTCACTCAATAGCAAGTTGTAGGGGGTGAAAGCAAAGATACTTTAAATGACTTTTTCCATAGTCAAATTTAGGGACGCCCGAGCATTGGAGCGCCCAGGGGCATACGGAGGAGTCTGCCTCCTTGCCCTCTCAGAATTTAGCTATTTTGATGGCGTTTTGCCCTTTTTCTTGGCGCTTTGTCTCTCCTGCCCTACAACTCTTCCTTTATCTTGGCTCACATTGCTTTTTCAAAAAGTATATTTTCGTAGTTTAATTCACTTACCATTCCATGAAAAAGCAGGCAATTTGTTCCGTAGGTTTACTGACAGGTGGATCTGTGATCAGCCAAATTGGCCTCACGTATCTAGTCATTGGACTACTGGACAATTTCGGTTGGCAGCGGACTCTCCAAATACTTGGTGCTATGCTTTCAGTAATTTGTATTCTTGCCGCGCTAACATACATCCCGATGAATTCCGGACCAGAGACAGCGGCGGACCAAAACCTACGAAAGAAGTCAGGCTTTAAAGAATATCTTTCGCTGTTGAAGAACAAGCGTTTTGTTGCATTCCTGGTTGCTAATATTGTGGCAGGTTTTTCGTACTGTGTCACGAGCGTGCATCAGGCAAGTAAAGGTAATATTAAAATCAAAATAATTCATTTCCACTCTTACCGCTCTCTGTTATTCGGGTAAGGGGTCCATAAGGCTACCCAATGGATGTTTTGATGAAGAGGCACAACTTTTGGCCAACAACAATGCAATTTTGAAGCCAACTCCAGAAACATTCTTACTCGTATTCTACCATTGATATTAAGGACCTGGTAACTAATTTTGTAAATTAGGAGGCTGACCAATACGAGGTTGATTTGCAAAGATAGTGTAAACCACTTTTAAATCATGCAAAAATATGGCAATTTGGTTGAAAAGTGGAAGTGCTACCCCACTACCCTGTTTGACACTGCCCCTGTCAAAAACAATCTGCATATCGAGAGCAGCTACTGTTTGTTAGCCCGCTAAAATGACTAATATTCAATGACTAATAAGAAACAATCTTATATTTAACAAGATTTTCTTTGTAGAAATAGCCAGAGATATATCCTAATTTTTGCAAGCCATCAAGGAAATATTTTTTTATGAAAAGCTAACCGTCTTGAATGATATGCAACGTCTTTGCACTTTTAGGTCCAATTTGCTGTGGAACTTGGCGTACCACGTGGTATATCAAAGCAATTCCCTGTGTTCAGTGCGTCTGGTAATGCACTTGGACGCCTGGTTTGCGGATTTGTGCTAAATGTATTTGTCCAGAACAAGATAAGATTTTACCAAGTAGCGTTGTTTACAGGCGGCCTGGTTTCGGTTGTCAGCTCATTACTGACCAGCCAGGCTCAGTTGATTGCCTACATCTGGCTTTATTCATTCCTTGAAGGAACATTTAACACTGCTGTTCCTGTAACAATCAGAAGCCTAGTCGGTCTGAATGCAGCAGCACACGCATACTCGTTGACGATGACCGCTGTCGCACTTCCAGTTATGCTTGGACCACCTCTCCTAGGTAAAATTTGCACTCACTTTTACTTAATACCAGTTCTTCCATTCACACAAATTTTCTGGATACCAAAAGGAATAAAATGTTCTGAACATAAAAGAACTAAGTGAAGACAATGCTTGTTGAGCAAAAGATAACATTTTTAAGTGTAAGGAGAACCCATAATTTACACAATTTCCCCAAGACCTTAAACAGCTATTCAAGACGTCAAAGTATACGCTTTTGTGTATACAGCAGGGCGGTTCTAAGTTGCTACTTTGAGTTTCACGCTTAATGCGATCATCAGGCAACTTTTGAAACTACTCTCTCTCTATGGGTATTGTTTTATTGATTTGGAGATTTGCATGAGATTTGGAGTAGCAACTTAGAACCGTCACAATTTATACATGAAAAGCGTGAACAGTTCTGCCTAAATGGCATCGAGTTTTTGACCGGTAAACAGTAATTTTCAAACCGAAAAAGAATTAAGCACGGGACCCTTATTTAGATACTCTCTTTCTGGTGCCTGAGGCAGGTTGTTTGCAGTTTGCTGGCGTTTTTTATGGTTTTTTTCCTTAACAGGTTATATTGTTGATGTGACGAAAGATTACAAAGCATTTTTCTTTGTTGCTGGAGTACCAAACTTGCTGGCATCAATGACACTGATGTCATTAGGATGCATAAAAGAGAACAATGAAAATGTAGACAAGGAGGTTATAAACGAATTCAAAAATGACAAAGGAAGTGAAGAAACAATTTTAGATAAAAATGACGAAATAAAGAATTTATTGCTTTTAGAGACACCAGTTTAAATATCTACAAAAGATATGTTCTGTGTGGTTAGTAATCCTCTAGGTAATATTTTTATCTTTGTTAAAGTGTCTGTAGAATTTAGCTACAAGTATTGACTAATTCTTCAATGAATAAAGCTAGAAGACTAAGAACCTGCAATGTTTACTTGCATAAAGCCTAGTTCAACACACATGCGATGTATCGGTAGAATTCTTTTTGCTTACGAGACAGAAAAGTGAAAGGCTCAGAAATGAGCCCCGAGGAGCTGCATATCACAGTCTCAAGTAGTAGACGATTCAATAAGTAAAGAATGTGATTTTTAGTCGCATCATCTGCTTGGTAGCTACAATGGCCGCCAAAAGTAGCTGGAGCACCGCGATTGTTCTCGTAATAAATGCATATTTTTCAGTTCATTTCCCTATTTCAAGCAGACGGATCCCCCCCCCCTTAAACAATGTTGGGAAGGAAGATAAACATGTCGCTAAACATCGGTTACACAATATACGCTCCAACGTACATATGTTGTCATTTTCTAGTCGGAATCCAACATTGTATATCGAGGGAGGGGAGACGTTTAGTAGGAAAGATGAAGGGACTGTTCCAACACTTTTGGTGGTCATTGTAGGTTTATGTTAAAGTCCTTGGTTTTCCACGCTAAATTACTTGACGGAGTTTCATAAATTTCACAAAAATTCGTTTTCCTAACTCTCTTACCTAATTTCGTGAATTTTTTGTAAGCAAGTACTAAGATTTCAAATAGATTTTGAAATAAAAATTTAAGATTATGTTTTGCGGTTGACTGCAAAAAAGTACTTAAATGCTCACTTGCATAAGAATTTTCCCTGAGAAAATGATGCCGAATAATTTTTTCTAGCTTCTAAAAAAAATTACAAAGATATATACGTAAGGTTAAACAATAAGAGTACATTGCAAAATGAAGCAGTACACCGGTTGAAAGGATTGCACCGAAACTGAGCAAATTGTTTTAGTCAGTGTAAGTTCTTTTCCTGACAAGATGGCAATTATTTTTTATTGACAGGTAACCACGGGGTGAGTCCATCATTTGCTTGCAAGAAAAAGTATGTTTGCAAGCAGACGTAGGTTGGTAAGATATCGTATGTTTGAAACCAAACTCATGTTTGTAAGATATCGTATGTTTGAAAGCAAACGCATGTTTGTAAGATATCGTAGGTTTGTAAGAAAACGCATGTTTGTAAGCAAAAGTTCGTTTGTAAGTTGTGATCGAAGGTATGATTGTAAAAATGTAATGGAAAAGGAAACGTCCTCATGCATGTAATCAGGATCTTGAGAGTGCATTTCAGTGTTCAAATAGGACTCTACAAAAAGTTACCATTATGTTTTGACAATCAGAATATGTCCTTGAACGCGTCTGATGTCGTAAATGATACATGAAATGAGCAAAAATATAACGCTTTTCAGCCCGTCGTTTGCCTAGTTCTTTGCATTTGGTGTTGGTAGTTGACCCTACGTTAAAAGTTAGCTTCATGATAAATATGGTAATATTCACATTTTGGTGAAGAAATATCGCCAATTGTGCTGAACATTGTTATGGTTGTGAATTCTGATTGATTATGACTGGTTTTTTTCCTTTTTTTAACGGCTTGTGAGATTCGGAAATTACGCATAAATTAATTTTGGTAAAAATAATTTGCGTGTTTATCAAAACCATTTTCAAATTTTGTATCATCAAAAAGTTGTAAAATAAAATCTATGCAAAATTCTTCGCTTGGTGACAATTGAGCTTATGGGAAACGCAAAATGTCTGATGCGCTTGAGTGACGTTCTTTGTGACGTGTTACAAACGTTGGGTTGTGAAAGGTATTAGACGACTAATTGTTAATTGATGACGCAACTCGTCACCAGTCCTTTTATAAAAACAATATATTTTCTGGCGATTAACTACCAGACTGAGTTTCAAGCAGTAGATGCTGTTAATTATCAGGTTAGTTGTTTTAAATCAATCTTTTAACATTCTATCGATATTTTGAATTCTTGCTTGAACTTTCCTTTTAACACGTTGAAGCATTAAATGGTATGCCACGTTACTTCAGAGAAACGCGACTTTGTGTATTACAAGGCCTAATTGAGCTTTAAGACTAAGATACGCTTACAAGAAAAGGGGTTTTAGCACTTCTAGTTATTTTTATCCTCAACATTATGCGAAATATTTTAAGTATATAGATATTTCTCCCGATCGAGATTTCTTGTACTTTGGCAATATTTTCACTCGCTACATTGACTTGATAACGGGTTACTCTTGAAACGTCGTTTTCTTTATTTCGCTTATTTTCATCGTACAATATCAAGTTATTTTAAAGTCATATTGTTGCATTATATTGTAAGACACACAAGTTGGTATATTTATGGAGACTACTTTGAGATAGGTATCTTGTGGTAGACGGGTGCAATCATTTTTGAACTTCCTTAAAATTATGTTATCATTTGATCACGACTCTGAAGATGCTGTGGATAAAACTGCAATGACTGGAAAAACAGACAGACGAGTAACAATTACTACTAGCCATCCAACTGACGAGAAGAAACAAAAAGGTTTGTTGGACAGCAAGCACAGGTCACAATCGCTGGCATTACGTCATCATAACTCACCGAAGCAGTCCTTACTTGGCAGTCTTAATGAGGACAGATTCTCTGAAGATTTTGAAGAGGCAAATAGCGAAAGAGAAACCTCACGAAGTTTCAGAGGATTATCAAAACACTTAGATGAGAATGGTTCGGTGAACTTTGCAGAGGAAGAGTATGATGAAGAGCTGGATTATCATGGATTTGACAAGGAGCTTGTGGACTGGTCTCAACATCTGCAGAGGATCCATGCGAAAAAGGCAGAAAAAAAATGTAAGATTTATATTCTTATATTTTTTGCTTCTGATTTAATGATTTTGGCTCTATTGACTATCGTAACAATGATAAAGAGCTTGTTATGATATTTTTGATGTGACAATTAAAAATTTTGTATTATACTGTTGTGAAGACATTCATATTGGATAGAGTGGTGATGGCAGGATGGTAATCACCCCTTTCTTGCTATACAAGAGTCGGTTATTGAAATAAGAGAGCAATGATGAACTATTGTTGTGACTCTGCAGTACGAGGTTGGCTGAGAATTCACATGATAGTCAAGAATTGTTTATTACAGCCAAAAAATCATTTAGAGAATCTGAAAACTCGTATAATGCTACCTAAATAGTCAGTTACCAAAGGCAAAATCTAGCTTACTCTTTTCCTGCAAAAACACAGTATTTTAGCTAGAGTGAAAAGTACAGTTTGAGTAATATAGAAAATATATAGTTGTAAACTTTTCTGTACTAGAAAGCTAAGTAATGCTAAGCCTCGTTATGAAAACGTTCCCTTGGCACAATCTAGAAATTCTGATTTCGTCCCTGAGAAAGAAAGCTGCCTGTATAATAAAAAAGGTCAGGAATGGCGCCAGAAAAAAAATGCTGGGGGGCTGTAATGTCAGAGTGCCGACAGTGAGTGAACCACCCAAAAAGATGTAATATAACACCATTTCCACTGTGGTAATTCTAGTTCAAAAAATGAAAAAAATCATACAATGAAAAAAAATTACGAAGTGGAAGTTATGAAAGTGCCGACAAATTTTTTAAAAAAGTGCCGCCGGGGAGGGCTCAATGAATTTTTGGGGGGGCTCCTGCACCTCCGGTGGCGCCATCCCTGAAAAAGGTGCTAGTTCTTTGCGCTAGTTGTTATAGAAGTTGTTATTGACATGACGTCATGGCTCCTATAAATTATTACAATGGTAAAAACGGACCATAAAACACAGCGAGTTACCAAAAAATCTCTTATTTCACATTCACGAATCTAAGATAGTGCGAGCCCTTGGTATTTCAGGCCATCTTACGTATATTGAGTCGGAATTATTTAATTTGCAAATCAAAGGTTTACTTTCGTATTGTTACAATCATGGACATGAAACACGTCGATTTCATTCTGTTAATGGCAGTTCTTCAAATGATGCTAATTTAATTCAAAACACATGAATATGTTAAGTGTGGTGAAATGTATCTCTATTTTATGATTCTTTGCCTTCGTCAATAATGGATGACTTTTAGCCACAAAAACACGAAATTGATGTTAAATTAAATCACAGAACAATCATAGGCTTTTAGTAGAGATGCAATTAAGGCTAAAGCTTTCTACGTAACACGAAATGTTTCGAAGAAATTCACGTTTTGAATGATGTGAAGTATATATGGCAATGGACAGGGTTGTGACATTGAAAAGTAAGTTAAGTTAGCAGATGTATTTTATAGGGAATTGTTTGTTTGTTCATATGATTTGAAATGATTTTATACTTTGTTGAAAATACTAGTAACATCTGCACACTCATTTATCAACAGCTCGAATAATAATAATTATTTTCTCAAATGCTAGGGACACTGTAACGTTTAAGTTTCAAATTTGAGTGACACTGTAATATTTTCGTTCAAATTGGATGAACCTAAGGTGTAGCAGCCACCTCTAGTTACCAGAAATGGTTTTGAATTCCATTTCCATGCCCTTGATTCATTAACTATACCAGCTTCTAAAAACCAACCATACTGCTATCATTGAATCTATCAACATTATGAAGAGTGTCGCAAAAACAACTTTCTAAAACTGATTAAACTTTGTGAATGTATTTAAGAAATTTGTACTAGAATTGTAGCCTTAAAAGCCACTGTTTAAAAACACTCATAATTTTTTGATGGTGAAACGATGCAGCGTTCAACATGATTTGAATGAGATCAGATGTTGTTCGTAGGCCAACTGAAACTGTAGCTTAAACTACTCCTTGCCATGCTCGATACGACAAGAATGATTCTGGACCACTATGCTATAACTACTAGCCTATTGTTTCTAACTATTATCAGATGTAGCCAAAAAGCAACACAACCAGGGTGATAATGATACTCACACTCCCAGGTCTCACTATTCTATATTTCCTGACACTTGATTAAATCACATGTCCACTATAGGCGCTATTGCCGTCTAGTTATTATGTTAAAAAGCCCCCCCCCCCCGGAAAGGCCGAAAATTTATCATATATCATATAATTTTTTAATTTCCGCTGCTTAGGAAGTTTGGTTCATGGGGAGGTTGAAATGATTTTTTACTAGTTCACAAAGACTCTCCAAAGCTGTTCCATGACGTAAATTCTTTTACATGAATACAGTATTACATACAACAACAGAGCCACCCTATAGTTTCACCCCAGTTCACTTGAACACCTCTTGTGGCCATCATCAGTTTACTAGCTCTAGTTTGAAGGTTCTGAAAGACATTTTCTAGGTTCTAAAGATTTATGAACATTAAATATTGTTTACATGTCTTTTTGGCCTATTAGGTGAGAGAACTCCAATGGGTGAATATATCATACCACAAGATGGCAAACCGTTGACGCAGCAAGCACTTGCTACACCAGGACCATCCGACTACAGTCCCAAAGTAGGACTAAGCAAGCCTTCAGCTCCACATTACTCTATTGTGGGTAAAACCAAACATAACCAAGGTATGAATGTAGTGCATTTGATTGGCTAGTTATGACACAACAAGGCTTCTCATTGGCTTCTGACGAACATGTGACTGTTTTGAGGACGATATCGCGACTACTTTGTTTATCTTGTTGATTTTTATTTGTTGACCATATACTGCGAGAGTTAAAATAACAAATATGGTATCGATTCGCATAGAGAAAAAGTTGACGTCTCTATGGAAAGTACCTAACTATAACCGAGCCTACTTTGCTTCTTTTTTACAGAACAAAACTTTCCTGGTCCTAGCAAATACCAAACAGGCACTGACCTAATTTGGAAAAACAAAACAATAACTGTGAAAGGTAAAGGCACTATGGTTAGCGTGAAACAAGATAGAGGAGACTGGGACGAGTCCGTTGGTCCTGCTACTTACTACGTCAAACATGGAAATCTCGGTTCCGCTGCGCCAAAGCACGCCATCGGCATGAAAGGGGTTTTCTGTAGTGGTCCGCCGGATTCGCTCGTTCAACCAGTTGATACACGAGGTGCGTGTGCATATATAACGAATCGCATTTGCAATCATGGCCCTATAACTTGACTCGTGGATAATTGAATTTTCCAAATTCGTAAACAAAATTTTTTTCTTCATAATTATCAAATATTGTTTACGAAGTTCTCCTAAGTGTCTAGTAAAGATTGAAACTGAGTCGCTCTATCGGGCATGGTCCCTTAAATAGCTACAACGTTGTCAATCTTAGAACAATGACCTAGCTTTTAATCTTACTTCGATCTCACCAACAGTATCAAAAGCTTTTTCTTAAATTCTTTCCTTAAATTTTGTTAAACACGTTTTCTTGCAATACCAAAATGACGCATCTTAAACCAACTGTAGTATTCAGATATCATCTTTCCGATGAAAAAAGAAAGTTTTGCGGAAAACCTTCAGCTGGAAATTTTAATCCAGATACCAATACGGACATCTGCTTTACGGTTCTAGAGGTCTTTTGATAAAAAATTTCTTGATGTAGAAGATAACACTTGTGGTGTGGTTTCGAAAATCATTTAAGAGGTCTATGGGTATCTCAAAACAGACATTAAAATCAAATGTTGAACAATTTAAGCCTCGCTTCGCACATTTTTCTTAAAAAAATAAGGCTGAAAGTTTGCAGCTAACCATTTTGCTTTCAATATGCTGACTGGTTTCTAAATTTTGCTTTAAATTAAACTTATGTTTCACACGCAGCTCAGAGTAGAAAATTGGTTAACTGTGTTCCACGTGAAATCACGAGCGACTAAAGGACGTCCATGTGCTTTGTGAATGATGAACAAATAACCAGTCAAAAAAGCAGCATTCCCATAGAAAATCTATCAAAAATGTCTGAAAACACATTTTTCCAGTAACATGAATAATTCATGATTTTATGTGAAGTTTAAAGAGTTTGTTATTAAGTGAGTTAAATGTAAACAGTGCTAATTACATAATTATATAAGATGAAATCATAATTTATCATTTGGTAGAAACAGGTCTTCATGATAGTATTTTTAGATGATTAGGCTAAGAATAAACGTTCAGTTTTTCAGTATTTTATGAGTATAATATTATTACATATCAGAATGATAATCAGGTAGATACTCAAAGAATCGATGCCGAACCTAGCTCCAAAACCACCTCAAAACGACGATAAAGTTCCTTTATCGTTTAATTACAGTATTACCTTATCCATATCGCAGGCTTTAGTACGCCAGGTCCTGCCGAATACCACCCAAAACTAGCTTATTGGGGTGACAGAATGGAAAAGTCCTTTGGATTATCACCGAAGAAAAGAGAACCAAAATCTTTACCAGGTAGGCGACATTTATTTACTGAACATTTAGCCAAGTAATGGCAAAATCTTCTATGAAAATGAGGAGTTGGTTTTTTTAAACATTTTCCTATCTTTTGAAGTCTGCTAATGTCAGCTGATCAAGAAATTGTACCACAAACTGTCTTTTTAGGCCCAGCAGAGTACAATATATCCAGAGATCGAACTCATGGTCCATCATATTCATTTGGCACAAGACTCAAGGAAAACATCGGTACCAACTTTATTCACTATTTGATTTCAATCACATTTTATAAGACACTTAATTAGAAAAAGAAATTTGATTGTGACTCGAAATTGACTTTTGAAAACCAAGCAAATTGATACTTTAAGTTGGTTTTTGATTACCTTTTACCGTCACTGAATCAAAACCATGATCTCTTTTATAAAATTTAAGTAGTCACAACTATCATCAGAACCATAACTTTAACGATGAAATCGTAGTTCCAGAACCTTTGGGTATACTTTCAAGGCCTACAGATGCTAGAGAGATGGAGCTAAAACGTGATTAACGATAAATGTTAAATTGTAAACAATTTATGGTTTTCTACATTTTTTTAGTATATGTTAAATGTGTAACTAGAACATTACAGGTACACAAATAAAAGGTACTTTCGGAATCAGGACCGACTCTTCCATTTTATCATTGCGTTTTGGACTATCCGTTTCAATCATATGGCCAAGATGTTGAAATCAGAGGCGTAGAGCTGTGGTTGGTCAAGGGGAGTTAGCCCCCTACTTGATGCGAAAAAGTAGCCCCTTTCTATTTTTGACATTATTTTTGCGTAAAATTTTCATCTGGACCCCTCTGCTCTTTCCATAATCTCTATAATTTACACTTCTGTATAAAAATTATTTCTCTGTTATAGTTTTCCATACGTAAACAATGACGTCCGTCAAATATTGTCTGGTCACTTTGTGTTTATCAGTTACAGGATCACATACACCGGGGCCTGGTGCCTACCAAATCGGAACGACAATCGGAAAATCCGTGGCAAAATCAATAGCTGGACGCCAGATCTTCAAAAACAGTAATGTATCTTAATATATTTCCCCGAAACAAACTTTTTTTGCTTGTGAGCAAAAATTGATACAATAAAATAACGATTTTGTACAAAAAATATAAGTACGACGTGTACATTCGCTGTGAACTTTGTGTGCTTCCTAAATGTTGTTTCTTGAAAATGCAGAACAAAGCTCAGCTCCATTTGTTATCTTTTTGCTTGTGCCTTAGCCAAAAATATTCCTCAAGCCTTCAGGACACATAACACGAAATATAGGAAAAGACATACACGACTCTGAGCTTCGCATATCGACTTGCCAAGGTTCAAAAAGCTTTATGATTTCCTTTGCAATTTTTCAGTTTGAATGTATTTTCGTTATTCTTGGCGTAAAATATTTTTTGCCAGAAACTCAATCCCCTCCCATTTGAAGATGGTTGTACCGCTGTGCCGCTGTAGCAAATTTTGAACTTTGAATCTTTTTATTAAAAGTACAAGAGAAAGCTAAGAAGCGCACTAAGAATTCTGTTGTTGTTTCATTTACTCTATGTCATGTCTTAGAATTTTAAAACTAAACTTGAAGCAGTTGACGATCATTCTGTTTTTGCCTTTTAATGAAGCAAAAATTTAGGAATCACACAAAGCTCACAGCAAATGTATGTCTTCCGGTAGTTATTCTTAGCCATGTTAATAAAATAACCGTAGATTGATTGCATGGACGGAAAAACTTATACAAGAATTGTGTCAATGCAAATTAAATTTTGTTCCAGCTTTTTGCTTCAAACTTTTTTTTATTTTGCCAAATCAATTGATTTTCAAGACTTTTAATTAGCAATTAATTTTAAAATTTGAGATTAACACTTAGGAAAGAATTGAAAGGATGTTTGCAAATTTACTTACCCAGAAAGAAGGATTTTGTCTTGTCCTCAACGATAGTCTTATCCTAAAAATAGAAAAATTGTTTATTTTTTGTTTGAATTATTGAAATCAAATGGAGTTATTAGTGACATTTGAACTACTGCCCTGAAAAATGGGGAGGAATAGAATTGGGGACACCAAAGATATCAGAGAATTAAGTTTAAAGAAAATACGAAAATAAGTTTGTTTGACCCTTATGCATTTTTATTGATTTTGTATAAGCAAGAAAGTCATCATTGGCTTAATAAGGGGAATTTCAGACTGCATAGTTAAAGTAATTAAAAAGGACTCCAGGTTCTGAAGATACGTTTTATATAAACAGTGAGGATGTAATATATCAAACTGTTATTGTTATCGACCATGTCCTCCCCCCCCCCCCCCTTCCAACAATTCTTGTGTGCTCTAATGTTAACCATTATTCCAAGATGAAAAGCTATGCGATAAACAGAGGGGCAACCCCCACCCTTTAAGGTACATGAACACTTAAAAAGAACACCTACCCCATTTCTCAACCCCTGACTTCATCATGAGAACCTTCTCGGGGCTCCAGTTTTTATAATCCAGGCTAAGCCCTTCATCTCCACTATCAACATCGTTGTATGTTTTAAGAATGGAGGCCATGTAAAACAAAGGTTTTGCAAACGTTGGATATGTTTTGGAGTGACAAAGTGTTTTCCGAAACATACGTTTGCTCATTGACTTTCGTTTTCTTATGGAAAATAATTAGGAAAGCTTATAACCAGGCTTCTTGGTAAAATTACTCATAATACTTTGTGTATACACAGTTGTATTTTTACCTGAAATGCTCCTCTTAATACGTTACATGCTTCTTTTTTAGATGACAACCGCCCAAGCCCAAATACGTATATACTGCCTAGTTCATTTGGCAAGACTAATATGCTCACGATGACTTATCGTCCCTTTGAAACTGCCGGTAATGTTGCTCTATATATTCTAATAACGAAAACATTGCATTTATAAAATCTTAAGATATTTTCCATCGAGTTCTTTCGGACCCTTATTCTGACGTTCTATGCTCTGAGAAGTGTCAGACGAAAAAGCTTTTAGTAGTGTGTTGTGAAATGTTTTCTTTTTTCAAAGCCATTTTAAAGTTCTGTACCGCAAAAAATTGTTTATAAAATCTTATGCTCATGATGGAGACTCAGTGGATAAGGGAAATGATATATTCAAAAATGGCGTAGTAAAAGTATAAACACAAAACGAATCGATTAATAGGCCGAAAGAGCTGGAAACGTTTAATGGCTATATTGAATTGCTTGGGGAAGATCATTTTTGCAAAAATATTACAATCTTCACCTAATAGAAAATTTTGGATTTTGTAACCTTCAGATTTTTCTCGTCTTTTTAAGATTTAGAATCGTTTCAGTCTTCATATGTCATTGAATATACTTAATACAACCAATTTTAACGATGTATTTGGTAAGAATTGATGTTAACAGGAGTAAAATCTTGGACATAGTTAATCCCTAATCGAAAGCGTTGTAAGCCTTCACGAAATAAATGTTCTAAGAACCTTTGATGTTTTTCAGTGGAAGCCAGTCCAGGCCCGGCGGAGTATGAGCCAAGAAACGAGAATCTGCGCAAAGGGCCTGAATTCACCTGCGGGCGCCGTTGTCGGTTGAGTTACCCTGATGTCTTGCATCACTGGGATCAAGGTATAGCCTCATCAGCAAAGACTATCTCGTATACCAATATGCCATGCTATCCTAATGGTTTAATCTAATTTTCTTTTTACAACTTTAATTACTCTAAACGTCATTTTTTAATTATCTTTGATCAAGAAAAAACCATCTTATTGGCAACATCTAAAATAGATTCCACAAAACCATCTGGACCGAAAATAGGGCGAAGCTAGAGAAAATTGTATTTAGGGGGTGGTGGGTGGTGTAGATCCCCCTGAATACAATTGATCCCGGACTTGTTGATAAATCTCAACTCACAGATGGGTCCGTTGGTAATGGTACAATGTGATCAAACTGCTTCTTGTTAAACTTATGCTCTTTAGAGTTATCTTAAAATACAGCGACAATCTTTTAGGCAGTAACTAGGTACAAAATACGTATAAATCTGTTTATATTCGAAATTTAAGACATACGTATAAAAAGAGCAATATGTAAAGAAACTTTGAATCTAAACTGTATTTTGTTTTGCAAAGCGATGCTATCAAATTCAGTATTATCAGTTTCAGATCACAAGTTGGCTATAGCTCTGGCTAAGCCCGTGGACCGACCTCTTCAAAGTTTTCTAATTCATATATAGTGGTTGAAAACTGTTTAGTGGACTGAAATACAAGTTCTTGTGATTTTTTTCTGTTTCTAATGCCTGATGACGGAGGCAGAGTAGAAGCAACTGTTATTTTCACACAGAGCAATTTCAGATTCTCATTATAATTAAAAGCAGACGAATGACTATCAACCTGGAGAAAACATCTGCCTTGCCTGCTTCAAAACCTATGTTTCGGGAAGGTCATATCGAGCAAAAAGACTCTCTAATGCGTCTGAAAGATGACTCTCTTTGAAATTTGAATAACAGTGTCGAAACTAAATGCAAATTTTTGTTTTTCTTTATATTTTAGCTCGCAATTTAAACCCAGATGTCAGTCCACTCTCATACAATCCAAACCGCGACTTTTCCAAGAACGATAAGCCCACCTACTCTATCGGAAAAAGATTTAAGGAAAAAAATGGTAAGTTTGTCATAGACAATCTCGGAGTTCGCGACGCCATGATGGAGTTCTATTGTTCTATAGCTAGTTCCAATCTCCCAGGTTGGGCAAACCAGCGGGAAATTTTTGGTAGATAGAGGCTACTCTTCTAGAGGCTTGCCTTTAGAATAGAGGAAAATACTTTTGGCATGAAAATCTGAATTTCGTTGATTAGCAATGGACTTTGTTTGAGGAACAGAGAAATTGACAGATCTCCATGATATAGGCCACCATTGTATTCACTTCACTTTTGGCCTCACTTATGTTATGGCGTTGCGAACTCCAAGATGGTCTATTAAAAAATTTCGTACTTGTAAGGATATGCTTGATTCTATATCTAAGATCATTAACGTCCTCTTTTTATTTCTCATTAAAGACTCTTAGTATAGTATATATGAAGCATAGTTAAATCTAATGAAAAATAGAAGCAAACTTGTTCAGTCATCAACTCATATCACGATAGCTGCACTTGATTATGGTGAAGTAGAAAATATCAGCATCGATGATTTCGACAAACAATGTTTTCTAATCAATGCTGTCATGATTATCTTCATGTTACGTGGTCGTGGTGGTAAGTGGACCATAATAAAAATTGATGACAGAGGAATACCTCAAATAAAATTGATTCAGCTATTTTCTTTGGTTTTTTATCCAGCTTATTCGATGCAGCAGATAACCAAAATCAAATCCATAGTTACAAAAAATTGACATCACTACCACACCTAAGAGCACTAATTTCCAAAAGTATCTTTTCTACCTTTGTCTTCCGAATTTCATTACATATCCATAGATTTCCTAGATCAGCAGCTTCTCATATCAAAGTTTTGCTTGTCAAATCAATTATCCGAAAATAACCCTTGGCTTTCTGCATGTTAACTCTAACCTATAAAACCAACTTTTGCCTCCCCCTCCCTTCTCCCCAATCTGTAATATGCTCCGCGGTACCCTCTTTATATTCAAATACCGAGTAATGACACCAGCCAGTAAGGGATCTGAAATGACAAGCAGTAATATTCGATTAATTATTTTTGCTTGGTTGAATAACAATCGAACATTTCGTAGAGAATTTACTGTTTCTTTATATATTTTTATTTATTTACTTATTCATTGATTAATATATTTACTTTTTCGCTCATTTTTTAAATGCTTGTACATCTGTTGATTAGCTAGTTATGGAATTAGTTAACTAATAAATCAATTGATTGATTTGGTTACTATTTATTTACTTATTTATTCATTTATTTATTCATCTATTAATCTATTTACCCATCTAGAAAGATGCACCCCGACAAAGATTTTAAAATTCGCAAAACACACTGCTGTTATACTGCGATAAGCGTACTCTTTCATTCAAATCAGGTCACGCCATAACTTTAGTCTTCCTTGTTTCTTTTTCTTAGCGGACAGTCCCGGACCAGCATCCTATAACGTAAGTGTCGCCAAACAGCAAAAGGGAACAAAACAACCTTCCTTTTCAATAGGAAAGAGAATCGAGAAGAATATTGGTATGATTGCTTTATGAAAGATTCCTTTCGACGATATGGTCAGGGCCACCGAGAGGAAGGCAAATTGGGCAAATTGCCTCAGGGCCTCGAGGTCAAGGGGTCTCATAGAGTATTGAATTCCATTTTAAAATACAATTTACGAAAATTAACAAAATTTTGCCTGATAATAAAAGTAAGAAATTTTAATAGAATTGATGAATTTAAGCTAATATAAAGGGTGTGGTACAAGAAGCAGAGGAAGACCAAGACACCGGTGGACAGAAAACATCAAGGCACTGGTGGGTACTTCCCTAGTGGAATGCATTCGCCAGTCGCCAAACAGAATTGGGTGGGGTGATATAATTGAAAGATGTAAAAGCAGTCATGGTGGCTGAATGACCGACTGACTGAAAGGGTGTGGTCACAAAACCTCTCGGCGGCCTTGGATATTGCACTTATTTTTATGCTCACCTCTCATGTTCCACTTTTTTTAATAGTAGCTCTCTAAGACATAGGAATTGATAAACCTTTAAATATTTTTTATTAATGAAATCTACAAAAAGTTAAGAAACTATATACTAATCCTGTAATCAAAAGCCACCACAGCGGATGAGCGCATGCGTAATGAGCTGTCAATTATTTATAGCATTGGTCTTTAAGCCCAGGTCATTCAATTTACGGTGGTCGCACGTTTTGATGCAGAATTTTGACGGGTCTCTAGACACTATGCTACTAGCTCGAGTGTTGAATTGTCTAAAAAGTAAGAGTCAGGTAATGGATTGTCTAAACAAATGAATTTCACGTCTACAGAAAGAAATGTCTCCATGTTTATATGTAATCGAAGTTACTGCTGTGGTGGTCTGTCTTAAAATATTCGATGTCGCATAGGCTGATCAGTACACATTTTGTTGTATAGAACAGGGAGGTTAAAAATTGCACTGTGGGCTTTTCGCTCAATGCGATCAGGTCAGGCCACTGTTTTGATTTGCCCTCAAGATATGTTTAGAATTTAATTGTTTTCAGCGTTAAAAAATACTGATAACATTGAACAAATTTGAAATGTTGACCTCGAATGATTTTCCTTTCTGAATGCTTTTTCAGTCAAAGATGGACCAGGGCCAGCTGCGTATTATCCGGAACCGAAAATTAATGGACCAAGCTACAGCATGAGTGGATGGAATGTGAAAAAACGAGGTAACTGTCCTAAACATATATAAAAAGCGATAGGCATGGTGTGGATGAGAACCCCTTGTCAATGCTGAAAAGTTTCAAATCTTGCTTTCAGGGTACTTTTGCCAGAACCTTGTTGTTACTTTCATAAATTTTAAAATTCCTGCCCAAGTTCTCACAAATAAAAATACTCACTTGTATAATATGGACAAACAATTTTAGCGAAATAACCGACTTTTCCAATTCTTCGCCAAAACTGTTGTATCTGTCTGGAACTTTGAAAAATAAACCTACATTTGGCAGGAAGAAGGCTTGAGTTGTTTTCAGATGCTTGTAGTGCTTTAGAAATAAAAATTTCTTAGACTCTACAAATCAAATTTTTTCAGAATTCAAATTTCCTATGCTTAATATTGCTTTTTAAGCTCGTATGTTTTCATCGATATCTAGGTTTTAATTTTAGAATAGCAAAATAGTCTTGCATACCTTTTCAAAACACGTTTTGCTGTTCAGCACACGCACACACACACGAGCTACATGAGAGAACGGCGTTGCCAGCAGGGCCATAAGAATTATCTTTCTACGTCAATTCAGCCATCTTTCTTATCTAGAGGATTATTGAAGGTGTACCACTGCAAGACATATGTCTGTTCCCAACGGTTCTCGATAAAATCCATCTTTAAACAGAATCTTGCAGCATTTCCTATGACCATATGGCCTAAGAAGTGGGTTTTCTTTAAGATAACGAAAACGTGGTCCGAGTGAATCTAATGTAGATTTCTCAAGAGAATATGCTAGACAATGGGTTCTAGAATACATTGTTTTCGAAACTCTAGAGAGTACATGTGATCAAGTTTTGAAGCAACAAAATAAACGGCAGAGTTGATAAAACATAACAAGTAAAGCTATCAAAAAACTCCTGTAAGTCTAGAAGCTCCTCGAGAATCAAAAATAAATTAGTTTAAAGAATAGATAAAACTTAAATAAAGATAAAGAAGAATTTAAAACTATAATTTGCCCCGATATGAATACAGTACCTTTCCTCTGTTGGCATTTCCTAATGGCTCAATAAACCTGGTAACTGGATTTCATTAATGAAAATAGCTTCTCGGAGTTAGCATTCAAGAAGTGGTTCGCCATTTTTCGCTTTCTTAATTATTTATCTTATCCTTTCAGTAATATCGAGTTACCCGGCTGCAAACGCGTACACTGTTGGAAGCAATCAAACACGAAAAGGTTTGGGTAAAGGACCATCCGTGACCCTAAAAGGAAGGCCTAGTCCATTTCTTTATTCTGGATTTAGTAGGCCAATACAAGCATGAAGAATCCGCTCAGAATATTTTTGTTAAGAAACAGATATATTATCTTTAAACTTTGAGTTGGAATGAAACCTGCTATGGCATTATTTGTTAAAAATGAGAACTGGCATGACAAAATGATGTTATTTCTGGTACAAAGTATTTCTTGAGTTATGTCACATGTTGAGAAATTGACCTAATAAATTATTAATTTAAACAATATTAAATGACCGACGAACTGAATTCTCTTTAAAATGTTTATAATCTTTGGAAAAGAGAGCAGTCAGATGAATTAATTGTTTCGCTTTTGCAAACTTCTAAATGTTCTGCGAAATGGAACAGGAGAAACGGGACAAGGTGTCAAAGCAAGGCATATACGGAACAGTTTATTGTATACACGACTTTAGTTGATGTCTTTGTGCAAGTTGTTTCTTTGCTCCTATCCAGAACTTTTTATTTCTTATTACAAAATGTATTGGACCGACCCTTAGTTTATATTCTCTCCAAACAAACTTGGTAATGCCTTTTCTCCATTTTATTGAGTAGACTTAATAGGCAGATTTAGAAATTCCCCTTTTTGACATTTTTATGTGCCTAAAATCGTGAAGCTAGAGATATTTTTCTAAGTTAGTTAAATTATGACGTAAATCTGACGTCATTCGGGTCACTCTTTAAGTTTCTCAGAATGCAAATAAGAAGCTCTCGACGATTGTTTGCCAATAGTGCGTATAGTGAACTAATCAGTTCGAAGCAAATACTCGAAAAACAGCCGAAGCACTAGGCCAAAGTCAATTAACATTGATGGGCAATAAATGAAAAAGGCGCAAAATGATCAAAACAAACTAGAATCATGGTATGAATTTAAACAGGTCGTATGGAAATTAACTCAACACGATAATTTTACTTGTTACAACCCAGTGGTTGCTTTCGCAAGCTACTTTAAGGCCCTTTTGACTGTATATGATTCTCGAGTAAGCAAGCAGCTCACAGCGAAAGAGAGACGAACATTGTTCGCTATAGTGTGATCAATTACATTCGTTTTTTCTGTTTTCCTCAGAAAGGGCAACTATTTAGCCTAAAAACCTAATGCATTCCTCAATTTTGCAATTGAAACCGTCCTATCATGCTCTATACAACAGTGAAGTCATATTTTATCTCATTTGACACGAGAGGCACTTCAAAAGAGGGTCCATTGGTGTATTCCAGCGACGTGGAGTGTTTGTAAGCTAGAAACCTTCGACTCATGGGTCGCATTACGAATTTTGGCCATTTTGGTAGCGTTGTATTTGCATTTATCAGAATAGAAACGGATTAAAAGATAGGAGTTCAGAGCGTGATATTGGAAAAATGCGATTCGGCAATTTCAACAAATTTCAACAAAAAAACTAGTGGCATTATACAGCTCACGTACTCAGCCGCATATGTCCAGCAGTTTTCGAGACAGCTGTTTCTTCACATCCCAAAAGATGCCGCTAATTGCATTGATGCCGCTCCGCTTTCCAGATGTTTCGTTCTCCAGTTCTCTGACCGAAAATAGACATAACGTAAAAACTGACATCAAAATACCTGACCTAGATTAACTGTGACAAAAATAAAAATTTCGTCGTTTCAAGTGGTATTGAATGCCCTTTGATTTTGATTATGACATCAGGCCGTAACTGAGTCAAAAATTATCCGTATTGCAAAACGTTTTCATTTCTGAAAAATAATGAATGATAAGTGAAGGCTTCTGTAGATTAACATTTCAATTCGTCCCGCTCACTGTCGGCGCAAAAAGTTCTACAGCATGGCAGTATCGACGCAAGACAATCCTGATCCTTGGCAATGGCGGCACAAGCTACTAGGCCATGTCTATTTAACTGTGGGGACAAACAAATTTAGGCCATGCCAAATTTACTACCAAAAAACGCCATTTCACCAACAGGGAGTGCAAATTTTACTAATAGGTGGCGCCCATTAATCATTTTTGGACACGTAGCAATCGCGCTACAAAAATGCGTTGCAAAATATTACCCTTCTTTCAACATTTTCACATCAACATGCCCCCCAGATATTTCACAGAATAAAGAACTCGAGCAGATGAAATAATCATTTCTTTTTAATTCCGGGTCAGTAACAACAAATTTATATTATGATTTATTCGACCTTTTGTTATCTGCATATCATCCATAATTACACTTTAACACTTCAACATTTACATATCTACAGTGAACTCATCAATCAAGAGGCATTATCTACCAATGATGGAAAAATATGGTAGCCGCATCAGGGGGTTGGGGAAGAGGGATTCTTTCCGTGACTTAGGGGGAGCTGTACCCTTGATTTTAGGGGTAGATGACGATTGCCGCTGAATCTTTCAAATAAGTTATCAGGCGCTGATCAGACGAATATTTTTAAAGCTTATCTGAATGCATAAAGGTGTTTCATTGATTTTTTCATTATAGTTTCTGGCAATTTTCTGCTTGGACTTAATATACTGAAAAAAGACCGAAAAACTGCTACTATGCATAACGACCTAACCCCGTTGAATTCTGTTTCCTCCAACTCCATCTTTTAAATTTGAAATTCAAGTAATAGTTTCATCCCAGAAGGGAAATCTTTAAACAAAAAATTCACGATCTGATAAAAAAGAGGAATGGAAGTGCAATGGCTGCATCTTAGGTGTTTTGGGACACTAACAGAATTGTCTCGAAGAAAAAAGGACAACGAAGGCTAAACCTTTTTCCAGCAGCTAAATCTAGAACATAATGTCATCAAAATTACGGTGGATGGTTGTTAATGCCTCTTGGATGTACATGTTATCCGGAATGTATCATTTAACATGAGTTGGTGGGGAGGGGGATTCCTACCGGTCTGCGCCACAACAATTGTCATTGCAAAAGTAAAACCTCCAACAAAGATATCTCCATTAGGACATCTCCCGATAAAGGATACCAGATAACGGAGATCCAAAATAAGAAATTTGCGATTTTGTTTAGTTTCATTTCTGCAGACGAAGCCTCTTACAAAGAACGTTAGGACAGAGGACACTGAGTCGTCCGCTAAAGAGCTTGTCACTGTACATCCTGTTAGCAAAAATTATTCGCACGTTGATCTTACGTTGACGATGTTGTTAGTAGTCATACTTTTCTATATCTATTAATGGAAATCAGTTTTCAAACCCTTCAATATACAAAGTAAGTTCATTGTTTAACACAATGCATTTAAATCTCTGATCATTGGCGTATTATAGGCAGATACATCGTGGATGGGGGCATCTGGTGATAGAGAGGAGGAGGGGGGGGGCATTTTTTGTGTCAAATTCTTTACCTTGAAAATAGACCAGAGTCTTAAAAAAGTGGACTAGTCTAGCTAATGGGGGTAGAGTAGGGAAGGGGCATTGAACACTAGATAAGGGGGGAATGGAGGTGGTTTTAGAGCATTTGACATTGAATTCGCCACTGAATGTCATAAACAAATAGCCCGTATAAAAGCAACAAAATTGGAATAATCGCGATCAAAATTGGTTGCGACAAACGGGGTGGAGGTATATAAGTGTTAAAATTACACCATAATCACATGATTTTCTCATCCACTCTTCCTTCATTGTTTAAACGCATCAACATATGAGATCTGTCTTCAACCTCGGCGGGATTGATGCATATATCTTTATTTAAACGTCATCTATTGCTATAATATAGTACATGTCGAGCTTTTAGGCGGTGAATGAACTTCGTGTGCTGGTGCTATTGTACCGTTGGCACCACCCGTGGATCGGGGCGTTGAAGTGGGCGCCCTTGATGACGCTAACGCAACAACTTCGTCGACTGCTTGAGCTGTCGCAATAACTGCCTTTGCGGCGGCATCCGAGTCTCCTTTTGCCACAGCAGCCCCAACTTTGGACGCCATTGCGGCAGCTTTTGCACCCATTGTCGGATTCGCTTGCTTCGCTACATGCTCAGCGGTTGCAGCGGCGACTGCCGCGGCAACAGCTGACGCAGCAACGCGGCGGATTTCTTCTTCCTCATCCATCGGACCGTTCACGCTGCCAATTTCATTGAAGTGAACAGAACGCTTCTTCTGTGCGTCTGAAAAATTGTTTGGTGGGTATCCACCTCCACTGTGATTTCCTTGATACTTGTTGTCTGCAAACGAATTGTACAACAATAAATATCAAAGAAAAATAGTGTACTTCGTGAAAGAATGTCATTTTAATGTCATTTGAATGAAAAATTCCACAAATATGCAACCAAGCTCTTGCCAAGGCTGTAAGTGACACATCTATTAAAAAGAGTTACGTCTTCTGGCATTTAACGCAACGAGAAATGTTTTGAATAAATGGATGCCTGGAATGACAGGTAGAAATGTCCTCACGCGACAACACAAAATAAAAAATAAATCCAACGAGGTATATCAAAACAAAGAAAATTGATCGCGAAGTCTATTGACGATGATAAAATCTATTTGGCACTAAAGAAAATGCTTTGAAATCGCAATTTGCAACTAAGATCATTTCACTTCCACTGCCTATTCTACATGGGAACATAGATGGATGTGAACTAAAAATAACTGTAGGTTTTCAACAAGACTAGACTGTTTGCACAGTGAAAAGCGATTCTGAATTTGATAAGAGAAATAGTCTGTGGATCGGGGATTATTTTCTTGCGTTGGCATCAAGCTTTTTCTGCATGAAGTCAGATAAGCATGAACGTTACTAGGGAAACAGAACAACAAAAGACGAGATTTCGTTAGAGCACAGGTGATTAGCAGAAATAAAACACAGTATACGAGACAGGTATTTGATTGTTCTAGCTGAAAATAAAACGATATAAACAGACGTGTTCGTAAAAACCTGTTTGGTTTTAACCTATTGTTGCGAAAGGAATCCGAATAAGTCTTCAAGTAAACATCGTTTTATCAAAATAAAAGTACTATTGTTTTGTTTAAAAATTTAATTCAAAGATCAAACAAAAACTCTCACGTGTCTTTGTAGGAATTGCTCCCTGCTTCTAAGTACTATGTCTTGCAATTTGTCGTACGAGCTTTTTTAAAAATAATAATTTGAAAATATTTTCTTGCTTTTGAAATTCAAATCTTAGATTGACACTTCACAAGTGATTACGAAACTGACATGTATGAAACAAATTGAGAAATTACGACAGCCTATTCTGAGTTATCTGCAGATTTTTACTTTGTGGGCTTTGATAATTAACATTCCCAAACATTTTCACGTGAAATAGAATTTTAAGCTGGTTTGGACACATGTCAAGGTTGCTAGAAAGAACATCACTAAAGTTAGCTTTTGAAGAACATTTGAAATAAACGAAAGGCAACCGTGAATGAGAAAAAAATATGAATAAAACAAATTAAGACAAGATAAACTACAAGCGCGAGACTATGGGAGAAACAAGGTAAAAAGAACACAGGCAATATTTTTATCATCTATTAGTACATTTGAGTGATTTGGCTTGCACGCAGGGGCACGCAATGTAGAGGCTTTTAGAAAGATTCGACAGAGTAATCTGAAAGGGATGATTTGACTAGTAAGAAGTCGTCAACATAAAACAAACGCGAGGTTCAAGGATCACTCGTGCTGTTGTGTTTGAATAACTTTGTTGTATTCCGCCATCCAAACGTCATCAACAGGCGCAATTTGAATGAAATTACTAGAATTTTCTGGTTATTTCTATGAAGACAAAATTCTGATGAAAATTGTTTGCAGGTGAAACAAAACATTTGCAGTTTTATGAGCAAGTCTCGACTCAATTAATGTTAAATCCGTCCTAATTAGCCTGGCGTGGATTAAAAGAAATTAATTTGTTTTGAATGTCATTAAGATAACGTTAAACATACGGACAAAAGTTAAAGACGACTTTGCTCGCATCCAGCTTTTGCTACAAAAACATTATCGCAGCCATAATCCAAAAAATTCACAACTAAATCAAAACAATTTGTTGATAGCATTGCTGTATTACAGTAATGTTTATAGTTTGTTACATCATTCAAATAGAGGAGTAACACATTGAATTGTAAGATAAGTTTTAAAATGCCATTCAATTGAGATTGCATGCTTGATTTCTAGTTCGGCCAATCTCTGATTTGGAAAGAAAAATCTTCAGTTAGCTCGTGGAAGGCGTCGACACTAAGGTTCTCTGTTTTGACTTTTTAAAAAACAGAACACAGAGAAAAGGAAATACCCTTTGATGCATAGAACAGAACGGTTCTGAGTTGCAACTCCGAGTTTCATACTTTTTGTCTTTTGTGCGATTATCAGGCACAAATTTTTGTCATGACTAGGAAGTTGCCTAGAAAAAACTCAATACAGATGTTTAGTTTTTTAGAGTATTAGGATTCTGAACGGAAAGAGTTGAAATACTAGCCCGTCCACTTCACCTAAGACATAAATGATTGATGCTATGAGACAACAGTTGCACTTTTCTCGTAAAGACACTTCGCTAACCATCTTTTTTATCAGCATACCGCATCAAAATCCCCTTTAAATCGCCTGATATTATCTTTGAATTTCCTAAAAAATTTGAATTTTGCGTCTTTTATCACCGCGATTACATGATGGGGTATTCAATACGCATTCTTTCCTTCAGCTGTTAGTCGCTCGCGAGCTAAAATTCGATAGAAACCAGAAGGACTACAGACAAGTTTCAAATTCTGATTGGCTGAGAATGACATCAATGTCACGTGATTCACTCGCAGGGAAGCCAGTATGAAGTTGTCAAATATTGTCAAAAAAGTAAATTTATTGAGACAAGATGGCACTAAGGCTAAGTTAACGTTTCTTTTCTGGGTTAAAGAGTAAGATACTGTTGAAGAGGGAAATTTAACCCCACGATATTTCTTGTAATGAAATATTGCAAAAGAGCTGGTACCTTTCGACATAATACTACATGAAATATGACCATTTTGTTAGATGTCGGCGGGACACAATATTGAGACAGGCAGCAATTCAGAAACTATTAAATATCGTTTAATTACAAAACGATTAGTTAGTCTTGATAAAAATATATGCCTTTCACTAAAAATCGCTTTATGGATCAATCATATAACAAGGCCACAGTACTGCTGATAAATAAATGGATTAAGAATTTAAAATATTATATTGCAGGTTAAAGCAAATAATTTTCTGTTTTTTAGCAGATAGCATCTTATCAAATACTGCTGAAAATGAATCAAGACAGAAACGTCTTAAGGCTGCTTTTAATAAAAAACTTTAGATACAAAATATACGACTCTGCTAAGACAAACTATCACAATATCACATTCTGCATCGAGATAATCACGTGACAAATACAGTTCAAGTATTCGATTCTAACCCCGGGGACACTTGGCTAGGCAAGTGACGGCAGTGTTTAGCCACTCTGATAGTGTCCCATAAAAATTGCCAAACCCCCCCCCTCCCCACCAACCCGGAACTTAACTAGATCATTATAATCAAAACTGTAACTAAATCCTGGACAAATATGGGGGATTATCGCCTGACATACTTTACCCTGGTGGCTCGATTATTACAGTTATCTTTATATCTTTACTAGTATTAGCAGAAAAAGCACACTGAAAAGTTTCAGTTCAGTTGTTCAACTTCTAGAATCAAGCTTTTTAAGTACTGGTTCGTTGAAAAAACTGTATAAAAACCCCACTTTGCATAAATTAAGCTATACAGTTCCGGATTAAAATTCATTTAAAGGCCACTTTTTTTATAAATCACGGCACTGTCGAAACCATTTTGAAAATTCTTGCTCACGACAAAAAAGCCTGATTCAACAGCGTGGATCTGGAAGTGAACCCTTGCATTACGCGTATAATCCTTCTATCAAATAATGAAACTATACACAATGGACATATTAAGTAAATGTTGGAGTTCAATTGTCTGCGCTGATCCAAAGCAGACCATTTGCTCTCACGTAAGGTCTAAAACAACCTCGTATGATATTGGAACGGCCGCGATGGAACGCAAACTCAAGAAACTTATTCTATTTACAAGTTATCGTGAATTTATTGTGTTATTTCCAAAATTCTAAAAACAGGATATCTCGAAGCAAAGACTGGGTTTTCTTTAGGAGTGAGATTGCATAATGTAAGCGGAAGAATTGCACCTTTTGGCTAGGGTTTGAAAAATGTTGATCAATAAGATTGTCACGAGCAAGGAGGCTGACGGCTGTGTGTTTCAATCGATCTTATTGACACAATGATTAGTAATCATTTATTTCAGTGATTGATCACATCAAATATTACTAACCAAACATAGTAGTGCAAATGCTGTTGGAGGGCAAGTTTCTAGTTGATAATGTCCGCATACCAGGTGCAAGAACTGTCGAAATATGTAAATCAAATATCAATAGACTTTATTCCCTTTTTCCCCGAAAGACTATGTGTAGAATGATCAGGCTGAGTTCGTGGTCTTTGTCAACCCAGTGTTCTGGAAATAGCCTTGTGATATGATTAATCATATATGCAGTTATTCGCGGCCTTGCCTGATCGAAAAAAACTTCTTATCATGCTGTTTTAATACAGAAAACTTGCAAATGATCTTTATGAATTAAGTTAGCGATTAAAACACGAATTATCTTGGGAACAAAGCGTTATCAAACAATTTTGGCAGGTTTTCTATTTGTACTGGCGTACATACTTTCTACAGGTACCTCACAATCAACACACAAAAAGCCGATATGGAAACTAGGCTTGAAATACTTTAAAATCAAAACAAGTCTATCTTGGGTGGTTTTGAGAAAAACTAGATAGAAATAATCGACTAACGATGGTGTGAAAGTCTTCTCAGATGTCTTCTCTGAAACTTTATACCCAATCATCGTACATTGTAATTTATTTTCTCGTAGATCATCAACCAGATTTCAATTCATTAAGACCGTATTATAAAATTAAATCAGTAACATCAAGTCGATACAAATTCTAAAACTAGAAAAGAACCTTTGAATGATTAAGATAATAAGTATAAATTTTCAATATTTCGATGCGAACGAGCACTGTCAAAAGCTGAATATGCCAAGACACTAAAAGAACTTTGAAATAACTTACAACACTTTGAAAAATCCGGTTCCGTATTCGGTAATGTTCAGCTGAAGTTGTTACCACGCAAGGGTAACAATATTGAATACGGCTTTTCGCTGCTTTG